AGAAGGATGTATAGAAAGAGAGGGTATGCGGACAAGCTGTTTAAAAAGGAGAAAGAAAACACTGAGACCATTTAGGAGGAGGTATGTTTAATTTGGGCTATATTCTTAGGAATTCCTATCAGGAGGGTTTGGTTGGGTATAAGAAAGCAAAGGTGGGGCATTGGTCCACCATGTTGTTGGATTTAGGACTTAGTCACTAATTCCAAATTTGTCCTAACAAGATGTTTGAGTTCTATGAGCGAGTATCTGGAGCCCGAATGCATGCTGCTTATATCCGACCAGGAGGAGTGCACCAGGTGAGTGAACTCCTCTCCCTCCAAATTTCCAGTCCAGGCTTCTTTGCTATATGACCACTGGAGGGCAGTGCTGATTGCTGGAAACTTAAGCTGTCCTCCTGGAGGGAGGGGTGCTGAGCTGGCTGGCCTTAGTGTAGGTTATATACTGTACACTGAATCACCTTCACTTGGCTTCTAGGATTTACCCCTTGGGCTTATGGATGACATTTATGAATTTTCTAAGAACTTCTCTCTTCGGATTGATGAGGTGGAGGAGGTAAGATAGAAGTCAATTTGAAAAAGTTATTGGGCTAGGGATATGCTTCGAGTGGTAGAATGCTTATGAGAGGCCCTGGTTTCAATCCCGTTACCAGAGGAAAAAAGAGAGAGAAGGAAGGAGAGAGGGAGGGAAGGAGGGAAAGAAAGATGAAAAACCTCTTTTCAATCTGATAAAAGGCCTAACAAGTTTTTAATTCCCAATTGTAAAGAACTAGAAAGGTATTGAAGATTGCTTTGAAGAGTATTAACATACCAGTTTTTGTGATCAATAGATGCTTACCAACAATAGGATCTGGCGAAATCGGACAGTTGACATTGGGGTTATATCAGCAGAAGATGCACTTAACTACGGATTTAGGTGGGAGAATACAGCTTCTTTCTTTATGGGTAGGAATGGGAGTAGGGAGTTATAGCCCAGTATCTTGTCTTCAGGACTGTTTGAAAAACATTGCCATGCCTTCAGTTTGTGTCTTATTCCCATAGTATGGGGGAGGAACAGTGGAGATAAAGAATTAGTGTCTCGTTTCTTGATTTGTGGAGTGTGGTCAATATATCTGTCATACCCCACAGTGGAGTAATGCTTCGAGGATCAGGCATTCACTGGGACCTACGGAAGACCCAGCCCTATGATGTTTACGACCAGATTGAGTTTGATGTTCCTATTGGCTCTAGAGGAGACTGCTATGATAGGTAAGGGCCAAATCCTTTCTCAGCTACTGTCTAGTTTGTTTTCTCTTTGTCCTTTCTTCTTTGCTGTACTTTCCAGTATCTCTGGGAGCTCATATAATGTATTAGATTGGGTTGCTTGGGCTAGAAGTAAAGCTCAGGGGAGAGTATGTGTTTAGCATTTATAAGGACATGGGTTGCACATATGTGACATCTTATTTTACCCTTATGTCATCTTTGTCTTGGATAGAAATAGTTTGGGTTGCACTTTATAGCTGGAAAAAAAAAAAACTAGTGTAAAAGTTAGAAATTAATCTGTTACAGTGGTTAACACTAGATTCTGCCTGATCCAGTGCTCCTTCCAGTAGATTCCAAGCTTCAAATTCCACTCTTGTTTACTGACTCAGTAAGATTTGCCACAGTTATCCTTTTTGTTTGTTTTTCCATTTGACTTCCACAATCTGTAGTCCAAAACAGTTTAAGAGGAAAATATTACACGCCATGGTCTGAGAAAATAAGATTTGGGGAAGGCCCCCATAGCAGAATCAAACTACTACAGGGCAAGCCAAGCATAGCCAAGCTTTGAAGTTAGCCAGAGGGTGTCTTTCTATCCCCGGACTGCTCCTCATCCTGCTCTTTTACTCAGAGTCTGCTGTCATCTACTTCAGGTATCTGTGTCGGGTAGAAGAGATGCGCCAGTCCCTTCGAATCATCTCACAGTGTCTGAACAAGATGCCTCCTGGAGAGATTAAGGTTGATGATGCCAAGGTGTCTCCACCTAAGCGAGCAGAGATGAAGGTTGGCTGCAGCAAAAGGGAAGGGAGGTGGAATATTGGAAAGGGACCAATGGCAGGAAGATGTGTCCTTGATTAAATCCTACTTTTTAGTTTTCCTTTTTTCAAAGAATTCACTAGATAAGGTTCTGTACTTCTCATAGCTCTCTCTCTCCTTTTCTCTTCTCTTTTCTCTTTAAACTTGTGTCTCTCAGCTTACTGAATTACATGTGGGTTTTTAATAACTGTTAGTGTTGAGATTACTTTCAGGGCTGGGGAAGGCCAAAGGACAGAACTTGGATCTAGTTTCCTGATGCTCCTTTTTCTTCCCCTCAGACTTCCATGGAGTCATTAATTCACCACTTTAAGCTGTACACTGAGGGTTACCAAGTTCCTCCAGGAGCCACATACACTGCCATTGAGGCTCCTAAGGTGAGGAGAGGAAGGGAAGGAAAAGACTGGATGTGGAGTGAGTGGCTGGAGATAGACATTCAACAAAATGCGCCCTCATTGGTAACAGGACATAAGAACAAAAAAATCTTTGTTGTCAGAGAAGAGCATTCTTTCTGTTAATGAGTTCTCCATCCTTCTTCTGACAGGGAGAGTTTGGAGTGTACCTGGTGTCTGATGGCAGCAGCCGCCCTTATCGGTGTAAGATTAAGGCTCCTGGTTTTGCCCACTTGGTAAGGAATCAATCCCATTGGTTAATCCTATAATTTATTACCTATGTTGAGGAGGTTTTCGTTTAGTTTTGTTTGTGGTTTCTTTTTTTTTTTTTTTTGTCGTTTGTGGGGCTTGAACTCTGGGGGCCTGGGCGCTGTCCCTGCGCTCTTCAGCCCAAGGCAAGCGCTCTACCACTTCCGGTTTTCTAGTGGTTTATTGGAGATAAGAGTCTTATGGATGTTCCTGCCCAGGCTGGCTTTGAACTGTGATCCTCAGATCTCAGCCTCCTGAGTAGCTACGATTACAGGCGTGAGCCACTGGTGCCCAGCATGTAGTTTCATTTTTATGAGACAGAATATCACTGGGTAGTCCTGGCTGGCCTCCAGCTCAAGCTTCTTCTGAGGGCTGGGAATGTGGCTTAGTGGTAGAGTGCTTGCTTAGCATGCATGAGGCCTTGGGTTCGATTCCTCAGTACCACATACACAAACAATAATACTGAAGACTTTTTAGGGGGGTGAGGGGAATGGGAGATGGGAAGGGGAAAAAAAGGAGAAGGCAACAATGCTTGATAAGAAATGTACTCATTATCTTGCCCATGTAATTGTAACCCCTCTAATGGTATTTTCACAATAAAAAAAAAAAAAGATTCTTCTGCCTCATCCTCCCAAGTTCTGGGAATATAGGCATAAACCACCATGCTGGGCTCTTGAGAGTGTGTGTGTGTGTGTGTGTGTGTGTGTGTGTGTGTGTGTGTGTGTGTGTGTGTGTGTGTGTGTGTGTGTGTGTGTGTGTGTGTGTGTGTGTGTGTGTGTGTGTGTGTGTGTGTGTGTGTGTGTGTGTGTGTGTGTGTGTGTGTTGGTCCTTGGGCTTGAAATCAGGGCCTGGGCACTGAACCTCAGCTTTTTAACCACCATGCTGGGCTCTTGATTGAGTGTGTGTGTGTGTGTGTGTGTGTGTGTGTGTGTGTGTTGGTCCTTGAGCTTGAACTCAGGGCCTGGGCACTGAACCTCAGCTTTTTTTGCTCAAGACTAACACTCTTGCTGGGCGCCGGTTGCTCATACTTGTAATTCTAGCTACTCAGGAGGCTGAGATCTGAGGATCGTGGTTCAAAGACAGCCTGGGCAGGAACCTCTGTGAAACTCTCATCTCCAATTAGCCAAGAGAAAACAGTAAGTGGCACTGTGACTCAAGTGGTAGAGTACTTGCCTTGAGCTGAAGAGCACAGGGACAGCGCCCAGGCCCAGAGTTCGGGCCCTATGACGGACAAAAAAGGACTAGCACTCTACCACTTGAGCTACAGCTCTATTTCCAGCTTTTTTGGTAATTAATTGGAGATTAAACATCTCACAGACTTTCCTGCCCAGGCTGGCTTTGAACCTCTATCCTCATATCTCCTGAGTTTCCAGGGTTGTTACAGGCGTGAGCCACCGGTGCCCAGCTCTTGACATTTTTTTGAGTTCTTCCTTTATCTACCCTGCAGATCTTTGCTAACACTGTTGCTATCCCTGTCTTTAGGCTGGTTTGGACAAGATGTCAAAGGGGCACATGTTGGCAGATGTCGTTGCCATCATAGGTATGAAACCTACTGTGTAGTAAACAAGGGGTTTAGGATTCTGGTTGGGGAGAAAAGCTGAACACATGCAATTTAGCATAGACTTACCATATACTCAAGGCCTCAGTCTCTTCAACACAATAATGAGTTGTGAATCTTTGTTGACACCACTTTTTTTTTTTCTGTACCCTGATCTAGGTACTCAGGATATTGTGTTCGGAGAAATAGATCGATGAGCAGGAGAACAGCATTGGAACAGCATCTGTGGACTGTTCGTCATTGGAAAGTGTGTGTGTGTGTGTGTGTGTGTGTGTGTGTGTGTGTGTGTGTGTGTGTGTGTATCCATCCACTTAACTGTATACAGGCATCTGTGCATGTACTAGGACAAGAGAAATTATAATAAATTAGCAGTCTTGTGGCCCTTACGTACAACCTTCTGGTATTTCTTTCTTGGTGCCTTATTATTTCTGTTAGACTTAGACTTAGCAATTTTTCTTTTTTCATTTACACAAATCAGTAAACTCCTCAAATGAAGACTGAGTACCAAATTCCAGGCAGGATTTAAGGGTCTATAGTGGGGTCCAAGGAGCTCTTTAAGGACAATTTATCACAGATGTCTCTGTACATGGGTAGAGTGAAAGATGGCCAATGGACAGCCTGTCTCGTTCTGTGAAGTATGAGGCTGGTCATTACAGGGCTGAGGCTTGGAGCCCAGATCTCCCAGCCCTCCTAGTTGGCCCTTCCGGGAGCCGCCCCATCTCTAGTGCAGGAAGGGGAAGGGGCCAGAGTGTGGTGGAAGGCGTGGCAGGAAGGGGGGAACTCTGTGGTCAGGGAACTGCTCACAGAGTTCAGCTGTGTAGTGCTGTCAAGAACGTCCGATCCTCAGCTCACAGCCCCTCCTGCCCCCTGCCCATGATGATTCCAGTGGTCTTACTCTTACTTCTTTTGGTTGAACAAGCAGGTAAGACAGTTTGGAGAGGATTGGCGAGCTGGGTTCCAGGGTACAAATCAAGGGTTTATTTCAGTGGGCTGAGTCAGGAACAGAAGCAGGTGGGCATGACTCAGGCTGGTTCTATCCTGCTGTAACCCAGGGCACAAATAGTCCCCACCCTTATTGTCCCTTTCCAACTCCAATTAATAGGAAGTGTCAGTTTGGCAGGGAAAGGGTCATTTGGCAAAAGCTGGGAAAGCATTTCTGATTAATATTACTTATGGAATGCCTTTGGTCTCTGCTGGGAGCTGATCTCCAGCTAATAAAATTGATTTGGAAGGGCAGAGGCCTATCTTTGGGTTTTTAAGAGAGGTGAAGGGGTGTCAAACGATTAACAGATTAGATTGCTGTTTCTAGGGGTCATCTGTCAACAACTGATAGGAGAGTGGGTGATATAAAGCTCCCAATTTAGGGACCTGAGCATCAGTGGAAAATAAGAGGCAGAAACAGTCCTAGCAGCTCCAAAATTGTAGGCTGTTCTAGAAGCTGGAGTCACATAAGCTCTGTGATAAAACCCCAGCACCAAAGAAAGGGAAGAAGGAGAAAAAAGAAATATCTCAGCTGGGTGCTGGTGGCTCATGCCTGTAATCCTAGCTACTTAGGAGGCTGAGCTCTGAGGATCAAGGTTCAAAGTTCAAAGCCAATCCAGGCAGGAATGTCCTTGAGACTTTTATCACCCATTAATTGCCAGAAGAAGCCAGAAGTAGAGCTGTGGCTCAAGTGGTAGAGTGCTAGCCTTGAGCATATCAGAGACAGTGCCCAGGCCCTGAATTCAAGCCCCAGTACTGACACAAGAAAAAAAGAAAAATCTTATGTTTTGCTTGCTTTGAGTTGTCTATGCTGAAAGTTTCTATTTTTAAGGGGATTGGTTACAGATGGGTGTTGGGAAGGAGGGGATTGGTAAACTTCAGGGAAATGGGAAGTTGAAAAAGAATGCATGGGGAAGAGTTCTACCGGACCAGCTGAGAAGGTGGAGAAAAGATTGGGTGAACTTGTCTGTTGTCAAGAGGGAAGGGGGGTGGCCAGGTCATTGGGGGAATAAAGCAAAGCATAAACATTCAAGATTGAAGACCTGGATTTGAATTTCAGCTCTGAATGAGTTACTTATTTTTTTCCCGAATGCTTGGGTTTCATCATTCATAAAATGGTGATGACGATGTTTCCCCTCACAGGATAGTTACAAGATTTATACAATATTGTGTGTAAAAATATTGTAAAATAAAAAGTACTTTTTCCAGGGTTATACTTGACCCATGTTAGTCACATGCACGCCATCAGACTTGATAAAGGCCCAGAAGCACCCAACTTCCCCTCTTGGAGGCCTGGGGTGAGTAACAGGACAAAGTAGCAGGAAGAATAATTTACATTTTGAATTTTGTTTGTGATTATTCTCTTGAGCTGTGGTCATCGCCCCAGTGTTAAGTACAAATGTATCATACATGGCTTACGAAAGTGGATTTTTTTTTTTTTTTTTGCATATTTAAGGGACAAAAGAAAGAAGTGAAGTTGAGAAGATGACCAGTAATAGAGCAATTGTCTTCCTCCCTTCCCCAGCTCACATCCTTCCTGTCCAGCTCTCAGCCACAGGTCACAGGACTTAGCAGAGACACTTTGTGGTTTCTTCACTGAAATTTGCCACTGCTTCTCTCCCCCCACCCTCTTTGGGCTCAGCTGAGGTTTTAGCCTCAGCCCAGTGAAGTCAGATGGGTCTTTGAGGTGGATGAGTGCTCAGTGGTGCTGAAAAGCGAGGTTGGGGATGAGGATGTCTTCAACTCTAGTGCATTTAAGTCCCACAATAACAGAACCTTTCACACCTCCTGTCCTACAGCTATCCTAAGATGTGAAATAAAAGGGAAAGGTAAGAGAAATAAGAGCCCACCGAGGGAGACAGTTTCTTTCCTTAGGAGGCTCCCCTCCAGGTCCCATCCTCTCTCCCTGAGTACCATCTCTCCCTTCTCCATGTACTTGACTCCTTGGTTACCCTCTGTCTCCTCAGCGGCCCTGGGAGAACCTCAGCTCTGCTATATCCTGGATGCCATCCTGTTTTTGTATGGTATTGTCCTCACCTTGCTCTACTGTCGACTCAAGGTAAGGCTGGGAGGAGAAATGAGAGGTGGATTGGAGGAAGGGGAATATTAGGGGTTTTCCCACGGCATTTGGAGGGAAGGTGGATGAGCCTCTCATGTACCTTTATTTTCTCCCATTCAGGTCCAAGTGCGAAAGGCAGCTATAACCAGCTATGAGGTATGTCTCTTCAAGGTTTTAGGCTCTTAGCCCTTCTGGGGCTCCAGGTTTGGGTGAGAGACCCCTAGCAGGGCATGTGTCTTGGATTCTGATCTGCATATAGCTCAGAGGCTCCCTTCTCCTCTGGCCTACCCATCCTGCCACTTAGCCAAGCTACCAGTACAGTATTCAGCAAGTGACAGGGGGAAATAAGCATAATGACAAAGAATGCATGAGAGAATTGTGTGTTGATATATGTTTGTAGCTGTGTGGAGAAATTAATATTTGGTGTCAGAGCAATCGTGTGAGGACACTGTAGTCTAAGGGAGCTAACACTAACCCTAACCCAGGTACTCCTTGGATGGGAAAGGGGTGTTGAGGGGAAGTGTGGGTCTCTAATACCTTTTCCTTTCATCTCTACAGAAGTCAGAGGCTGTGTATACGGTGAGTCAACTTGCTGTCTCCAACCAGGGTTCAACTGAAGACCATTTATTTATGTATTTATGTATGTGTGTGGGTTTGAACTCAGGGCTTGGTCTCTGTCCCTTCACTTTTTCACACAAGGCTGGTTCTCTACTACTTGAGCCAAGCTCTACTTCTGGTTATTTGGTGGTTAGCTGAAGATAGATTCTTGGACTTCCTTGCCTGGGTTGGCTTCAAACCATATTTCTTAGATCTCAATCTCTTGAGTAGCTAGGATTACAGGCATGAGCCATTGGTGCCTGGCAATAGTGGGGTTTTGAGTGACTTTCAGAGAGGGTAGGATCTATGTGATGGTGATGGGGTACTGGTGTCGGGCTCAAGCTCCTGATCATCCTTTGACTCTCACTTTCAGGGGCTGGACACCCGAACCCAGGAGACATATGAGACTCTGAAGCATGAGAAACCACCCCAGTAGCCTTGGAACAATTGTCCTTGGTCACATATTTCTTCATCTTCTAATTTTCCTTCCAGCCTTCATGGTTAGTGTTACATAATCCTATTCACTGTTTAAACCAGCTGAATGTACCCCAGTAATGATAATAAGCCCCAAATTAACATACACCCGTGGTTCCTTTTTTCCTGTTAAAGACTTAAGCTCAGATGCTAGCTACTAATGTTTATTTTCTAAGCTTACTCTCTTGCTCCAACTTTTTCCCCATCCCCATTGTCAACTCCCACTAAACAATGGAAAGGGAGTACCTCAATAAAGCTGTTCCAGACTGTATTTTAGTCATTTGTTTATTTGTTGTCTACTTATTTAGCCTCAACTAAGCATGAGGCCGGATACTAAATATGTAGCTGTCTTTTGTGTGTGCTAGTCCTGGGGCTTGAACTCAGGGCCTGAGTATAATCCCTCAGCTTTTGTGTTTAAGGTTAGCTCTCTATTTGAGTCTCAGGTCCTCTTCCAGCTTTTTTTTGGTCGGCTAATTGGAGATAACAGTCTCGTGAGCTGGGTGCCAGTGGCCTTACACCTGTAATCCTAACTACTTAGGAGGCTGCGATCTGAGGATTGTTCAAAGCCAGGCGGGCAGGAAAGTCCATGAGACTCTTATCTACAATAAACTACTCATAAAAAGCTGGAAGTGGTGCTGCAGCTCAAATGGTAGAGTGCTAGCCTTGAGCACTCAGGCCCTGAGTTCAAGCCCCAGGACCAGCAAAAAAAAAAAAGTCTCATGGTAGCTTTGAACCACAATCCTCATGTCTCCACTTCTGAGAGCTATGATTACAGGTCTGAGCCACTGGCACTGACTTTGAATATGTAGTTTTGAGTAGGGCTCCTGATATCATACAACTCACACTCCACGGATTCCAGGCCTGTTTTGACCAATTGATTGCTAATTGTGTCTAGGGGAGGGGTGAGACCTTTGGCTCATAGGTGCTCAGAGATGCAGCTGGAGCAGGGAGAATACCAGACTGTACACTTTCTGAACTCCTACTCTGGTTAGGAATATAGGCATTTTCAGGTACACTAAAATGTACAAAATTCCATACTCAATGGAGTCTTCTGGGGCTGGGTTGTGGGGAAGCCTATGTGTAATCCCAAATTGTTACCCAATATATACATATAAGCTGCAAAGCCAAACGTGCAGAAAGGATGAGTTGACAAGAGACCATGTGATGAGTTGACAAGAGACCATTTCAGTCTATCACTTGAACCATAGCTCCACTTCTGGCTTTTTTGCTGGATGGAAAGAAGCATGTCATGGACTTTTCTGCCTGAGATGACTTTGAACTTGGATCCTCAGATCTTAGCCTCTCGAGTAGCTAGGATTACAAGCATGAGCCAGTAGTGCCCAGCTTAATGGAAAGTTTTATGAGAGCATTGAATTTTCAGGGGATTCTGGGGCAACAGGGACCTTAGAGAGCCAGATAGGGATTAGAGGTGGGTAATAAAAAGGGAAATAAGTTGGGTTCAGATCAAAGCTCACATCATTCAAACACAAAGCTGGGTGGGGGTGGGGGTGGGGGCTAGGAGAGAACAAGGAATCCTCATCCAGTGCCTGCCCTGTTTCCACAGCTGCCAGGAAGCTCTGCCAGGAAGCTCTGCCTGGAAGCATTTAGACTTTCTCAGATGCCTCCAGTTCTATCTCTGACCTAGCAGTCCTTCCAGAGCAGCTCAACTACCCCTGGCAACTCCTGTGCTGAACAGTCATTTGTGCTGCCTAGTGACTTACACTATTCAAACGATTTTTCAGCTATTTGTATGTACTATTTGAAATTAATATACCTGTCCAAGGTCATCTAGCAAGTGAGATAGAGATTTCTTAGTCATGTAGCAAATTTTGCTACATGAGGGGAAAAAGTATACTGAGAGAAAAGGGGAGATGAATTCTTGTGAACATGAATCTTAGCAGAGACACTCCATCTGTCCATTTGGTTTCTTTGCAACCCACTCTCTCCCCCACCCCTGTGCCTCAGGACTGAGGTTTTGGTCTCAGCCCAATGAACTCAAATGAAATGCTCAATGGTGCCTGACTAAGGAGGTTGATTAAAATATGGGAGAAATTGGAGTTATCTCCAGTCTCTGGGGAGGAGGAGAAGATCATTTTAGATGAGTTACAAGAAATGAGCCAGAGTAGGGAAGTAACTGTTTTAAAGTGGAGAATAGAGTATTTGCCTAGTATACATGAGATTCTGAATTCCAGTCCCAGTATTGTAAATAAAGAAGCAAGAACAATTATTTTTTGGAAATGTTTCATTTTTCTCATATCTTGCATTTTGGGATTATGCACCCCCCCTCATCAATCCAACCAGATCTCCATCCATTTTGATTTAGTCCAATTAGCACAGATCTCAACATTTATCTAGCCCCACCCTTCTTCTAAGTTAGAGATCTGTCAGGCTTTTAAATGGCTACCATGTCTACAAGTTCCAAGCTCTAAAATGGCTACCATGCAAGTTCTATGGATAATGGTGTGGGAGAGGCTTCTCAACACAGGGTCCAAATCAGAGAATGTTTGGATTTTAAAAACATTTCTAAAATTATCTTTAAGTAGTTGTATAAAATGGCTAAAATTTAACATGTCAATTTGTGAGCATAATGCATCTTGATTAGGGCCACCCCTTCTTTCCTTTTTTTTTTCTTTTTAAAGAGAGTCTCACTATGCTGCCCATGCTAGTCTTCAAATTCCTGAGTTTAAGAAATCTTTCTGTCTCAACCAGACTGAGTACTAGGATTTTAGGCATGCACTATGACTCTCAGCCAAATCAGTGTGTGTGTGTGTGTGTGTGTGTGTGTGTGTGTGTGTGTGTATCTTCAGGTTCAAGTACTGAGGCTTAAACTCAAGACCTGTACTCTTGCTCTTGATCAGCTTTTTCCACTCAAGGCTGGCACTCTACCACTTGAACCACACCTCCACTTATGGCTTTTTTGCTAGCTAATTGAAGTGAACAGTCTCAAAGATTTTTCTGTCCAGACTGGCTTTGAACCTCAGATCTTGGCTTCCTGAGTTACAGGTGTGAACCGCTGGTGCTCAGTCCAAATCAGAGTTTTTTTTATGTGTGTGCTGATATTGGGGTTTGAACTCAGGGCCTGGATACTGTCCCTTAGCTTATTCCACTCAGTGCTGGCACTCTATCACTTGAGCCATAGCTCCTCTTTCAACTTTTTGGTAGTTAATTGGAGATAAGTTAATTGGAGACTTTCCTACCCAGGCTGGTTTTGATCTACATCCCTCAAATCTCAGCTTCCTGAGTAGCTAGCATTACTAGTAGCATGAGCTACTAGGGCTAGCAGATCAGAGGATTTTGGGGGAGGGGATAAGAAGGGTTGCCAGTCATTGGGCTTGAACTCAGGGCCTGGGCTCTGTACCTGAGCCTCTCTGCTCAAGGCTAGCCCTCTACCACTTGAGCCACAGTACCACTTCTGACCTTTTCTGAGTAATTTATTTGGAAATAAGAGTCTCACAGACTTTCCTGCCAGAACTGGCTTTGAACCTTGAGCCTCAGATCTCAGCCTGCTGAGCAGCTAGGATTACGGGCGAGAGCCACTGGCACTGAGCAAATCGGAGAGTTTTTTTTGTTTTGTGTTTTTGTTTTTTGTCAGTCGTGGGCCTGAACTCTGGGCCGAGGCACTGTCCCCCAGCTCTTCAGCTCAAGGCCAGTGCTCTACCACTGGAACCACAGCACCACTTCCGACTTTTTCTGCTTATGTGGTGCTGAGGAATTGAACCCAGGGCCTCACACATGCAAGGTAAGCACTCTACTACTGAGCCACCTTCCCAGCCCCAGAGAGGTTTTTTTTGTTTGGTTTTTTTTTTGGGTCCGGTCTGGGGCCTGAACTCTGGGCCTGGGCGCTGTCCCTCAGCTCTTCAGCTCAAGGCTAACGCTCTACCACTTGAGCCACAGTGCCACTTCTGGCTTTTTTCTTTTTTGCTTATGTGGTGCTGAGGAATCGAATCCAGGGCCTCAGGCATGCAAGGCAAGCGCTCTACCACTGAGCCACCTTCCCAGCCCCAGAGAGGTTTTGAATGGAGGAGTTACAGCAATTTTGGGGATGGGCTGTGGCTCCTTATTTCTCTTCATAAAATGACTAAAAAGAAATTTTGAACAATGTCTTCATTTCTAGTGACTTAGAAAGTTTATGAATTCAGTTTATGAATCCATGATATCTTCTATATTTTATATATTGTAGAGAAGCTGCAGTATAGTTCCCTGGTCTTGGGGAAGAATCACGGGCACCTCTATTCTATCGTCACTATCATTTTTGTTTTTTGGGTTTTTTGGGGGGAGGTCCGGTCGTGGGGTCTGAACTCTGTGCCTGGGCACTGTCCCTCAGCTCTTCAGCTCAAGGCTAGTGCTCTACCACTTGAGCCACAGCGCCACTTCTGGCTTTTTTTCTTTTTGCTTACGTGGTGCTGAGGAATCGAACCCAGGGCCTCAGGCATGCAAGGCAAGCACTCTATCACTGAGCCACCTTCCCAGCCCTCATTACTATCATTTATTGCTTGCCCTTCCCCTACCCCCCTCCAAACCCTTCTCTTTTTAGAAGCAGAGTTTTCTTTTTTCTTCCGCCTTCCCCTCCCCAACTCGGCTACTTCTCTCAGTCACCCAAACACATGAGGCTTAGTTTGATTTCTTCTGCATTTATTGTAGAAAATGGGGTGTGGGGAGGAAGGAAGGTCTAGGCCTGGCCAATAGGTGTTCTAGAATTGAAAGACAATAATCTGGACGTCTCACTGGGTGGCAGGCTCTGTTTTTTGGGGATCCATAAGATTGCTCAAGAAGTTAAACAGACTAGTTCCAGCCTTCTTCACCAGGGGTGTCAACTGTTGCTGTGTCTTTTCAAAGTAAGCCCTGGATAGGGGAGGGATCAGAGGTTAGTGTGAGAGACTCTGGTCATTAGAAGGGGCTTTGGTGGTGGTGAGGAGTGATTTTGCTCCTGAACTGTAGACTCCTGCTCCATCTTGGCAAAACAAAGCCCCTAGGAGGAAGCAAGCCTTCCACAGGGCAGAGAAACAGATTCTAGAGACTGGAATTCAAGGCCCAATTTCCACTTCTCCTATCTGTTCATAAAGGTGCATAGGAGCTTTATCTCTGAGCTCAGTTTATGAATCTGACCACCTTTCCTCCCCTGATTTATGGTCCCATAACCCTTGAACCCCGTTTTTCTGATACTTACTGGGCTTGGGCCTGAAGCTCTGTGCCTTTGGCTTTCTCCACCAGGTCCTTGCCATAGTCAGTCATGGCCTGGAGGTAATGAGTGACCATGCTCTGCAGACTCGTTTCCTCTGCCTGTCTCCGAACCATAGCCCCTGCACATACACACACATACACACATGCACATTCTTTTCAGCTGGGTCCCCAGCAATGAATCCTGGCCTCCTGCCACATTATTTTTAGTACCCATTTCAACTCTCAGCCCTCTCCCCAGATCCAGCCAGATCTGTTTCCTGGACTTTAGAGAGGCAATAATTTTCCTTTTGAACTCTTTAATTGCCAGATTGGAGCACTGGAGTACAAAATGATGGGACTCCCAGCACCTTCTCCTTTTTTGGGGGACAGGGAAGGGAGTTTCCTCCTCTCCATATTACATACCTTCAAGGCTACAGACAGTGAGGAACAGCACGGTGATTGCAAGCAACTTCATGGTGGTAATGGAGGAAAGGTGATCTAGGAACAGTGCTGATGGTGGGAAAGGACAGTGAAGCCAAATGGGCTTCTGCTCCTCTCCAAAGATAGCCCTATGTGAACACCCACTCCAACCTGGTTCCCTCCCTTTCCACAATTAAAGCCCCATCCTCTTTATATGCGTACCCCCACCATACCTAGTCAGTGTCTCTGTCCTCGGTGTCTATTCCTGGTCTATTTGGAGAGGCAAAGGCTATATACTTGTCTCCTTCTCCACTCCCATCAGGTGACAGAGACTGTGGGGAGGTCCAGTGGGGCAGGGATCATGTTGGAATAAACAAGCTGAAAAAAATGGGGGAGGAGAGGATAATCAATGGGGGACTAATGCAATATTGTCAGAGATAGGTCCTACAGGACTTGATGAAGACTGAGAGTCCATTCTGGGTCTGTTTAAGATTTTTTCTTCTGAGATTTTGTTAGAATCCTTGGATTTGTATGTAGTAAATTAGCATGGTTCACTGTTTTCTCTCCCTCTCCCTCCCTCTCCTTCCTCTTTTTCCTTTTCTTTGTGTGCTGGTTCTGGGACTTGAACTCAGGGCCTAAGTGCTGTTCATAGGCTTTTCCACTCAAGGCTATTCCTATACCACTTGAGCCACAACTCCAGTTCTGGCTTTCTGGTAGTTAATTGGAGATAAGGGTCTCATGGACTTTTCAGCACAAGCTGGCTTTGAACCATGATCCTCAGATCTCAGCCTCCTGAGAAGCTAGGATTACAGGTATGAGCCACCAAACTTGGGCTTCTAGTTATTTTTCTGCAAATTTCTAACATGAAATCATCAACTCTGGGTATTTTTATTTTATTATGGGTAGATTTTATCTCTCCACCCTACCTCCCCTTACTACAACTTGGAAGAGAGGGTAGTTGGGAATGGAAGAAAGGAAAAAAGTTAAAATTAGGGGCAGCAATGAAAAGAATTGGGGGTAGAAGTGTGAGGGTCAGGGTCAGAGGACAGGTATAGACTCTGTCCCTTTTGAGTTAATATGTAATGAGATGAAGAGAAAACATGAGGGCCCAGAATAAACCTCCTGGGTGCTGATCAATGAGTATACCCTAACCCCAATAAAACAAACTCAGAAAACAGCCTCTGCCCTCCTCAGCAACCAGAGAATTCTGGCAGGAAAAGAGGTGAGTAAAAGACTTCTGCTAGGATAAAGGTTGAAGTTGCCTGGTCACTTGACCACCTTATCAGATCTTGGTAATGCTCAGGCAATATTGAATCAACAGGGGCAATAGTTCCCCAGTGTCGAAGGTCTTAGTTCTTGTCTCAGCCCTAATTGTGAGGGAGGGAAGAGAAGAGATACATTCCTCAGACTCGAAGTATTGAGGTGAGATCAACTAAAGAGATATCAGATGTATTTGTACCTTTCACCCTTTTTGCCCCCAAAGCTTACTTCTTGGACATTCCTGAGAGATGGAGGAAGAGATGTGTGAAGCTGATAAGGGAGACAGCAACTAAAGACAAAAACTACTCCATTTCCAGCTATTTTCCCAGCAGTGCACACAGAGTTTAAGGGTCACTCCATTGCATGGCCCCTGTCTCTGCAGGTAGAAAGCATTTGTGGGTTGGAATTGTATTTCTAAGATTTTGTCGGCTCTGCCTGGAGCCTCAGAGAAGGAAGCATTTACACCAGAGGGCAGCTGTTTCAGCAACTATCTGCCTATAACCAGCTTTTCTACTTACAAGGGTTCCTAGTCTTCAAGAAGGTAAACATAGAAGATGGGGGTTCATGCCTGTAATCCTAGCTACTCAGGAGGCTGAGATCTGAGGATCACAGTTCGAAGCCAGCCTGGTTAGGAAAGTCCATGAGACTTTTATCTCCAATTAACTACCAAATTACCAAAAAGCTGGAAGTGGAGCCATTGCTCAAGTGGTAGAGTGTTAGCTTTGAAGAAAGAAGCTCAACGTCAGTGCCCAGGCCCTGAGTTCAAGCCTCAGGACCTGTTAGTGCATACAAGTGTGCACATGAGCGCGCAGGCACACACAAGCACACACACACACACACATACACACACACACACACAGAGCAAACTCAGTTGCAGAAACCCAGAGGAACATATGCAGTCTGTGACCTAGAGGAGAGCTGTACAATGGAAGGCTGTGAGAGTCCCCTAGCAGTTCTTTGTATAAGGAAAGGAGTAGGGCTGGGAAGTTGGCTCAGTGGTAGAGCGCTTGCCTTGCATGCCTGAGGCCCTGGGTTCGATTCCTCAACACCACATAAGCAAAAAGAAAAAAGCCGGAAGTGGCGCTGTGGCTCAAGTGGTAGAGCACTAGCCTTGAGCTGAAGAGCTGAGGGACAGCGCCCAGGCCCAGAGTTCAGGCCCCATGACTGGACCCAAAAAAAATAAAATAAAAAAAAAAAAAAAAAAAAAGGGAAGGAATAATATGAACAAGGTCTTCACAGTCATTCCTATATTCACCCTTCACAAAATCCAAGTCTCCAGAGTGTAGTTTTGAAACTAGGCATTTAGATCCCAGGCCCAAAGTCCAGGAGCTCCAAAGTAGGTCTGGATACTTTGCCTCTATATGCCAAATAATGAGACATGATGAAGGCAGAGAAAAGAGATTTATTATCTGGCTGCTATGGGAAGACAATACTTCAGTACATCTTCAGAGGTAGAGATATTGGCTTCCGGTTAAATAGGGAGAATTGTGGATGAGTGAGAAAGGTATACATAGTTAAAACAATCCCAGGCCTCAGATATGGCCTGTTTGATTATGAGATTAGTCTTTGTCCTTGGATAAGTTCCAGAGAAGCTCTTTATTACTGGAACAGAATTGGAACAAGGTGGTCTCCTGAATTTTTGGCTGTTCCCTTTAAGACGATAAGAAGAAAAGAAGATGTTGCTTGTTGGAGGGGTAGGAGTTTACTTTTCACACAAGATGGTTATTAATGAATCTAATCTTTCTTGGAGGCCATGATTGCAAAGTTGACTGCAGCAGAGAATATCTCAGATCAAAGAGCACAGAATCAAAGTTGGGGGAATTTAGTTTATGGGACTCAGAAAAAGCATCTTTTAAGTTGCCTCTCAGTTTCACTTTTTTGCTCAGTGGAAGGAGCTTCAGTGATTAAAGAGACAAGATGCTCCCTCTAGTGTCCTGTATACTTGCAAGTTTATCCCAGCCTTGGAGAGGAGGCTGGGCGGGCCATCTAAGCTAAACCTGAGACTCGTTTAAAAAAATCACCAATCAAATCTCAGTTTAAGCAGGGCGTTATTGAAACACAACGGCCATAAATCCTGCCAATCTTTTGCATGCTCCCCTCTCATTGGGCAGTAGGAGATCGAGTTGTCTTTTTTATTCATCGATTGGGCGGGGCCAAATCAAGGAGGGGTTGGGGCTTTGATAGCTTACTTTGCCCGGTCTCAAAATGGCGCTCGTGGCCACGCTGGGAATACTGAGTGAAGCCGCATCCTGCCATCACTTAAGATGGCTGCCCCCATCAAGATGACCGGGGTGTGCCGAAAGGAAAGGGGCAACAGGATGATCTGAGATGTTAAGTGTTACTGTTTCATTGCATGCTTGGCCTTGGGCCGTGGGAACGAATTGCTGAAGACTAGGAAGCTAGGTAGAGTGTAGGTCAGTGTAGGTTAGGATTAGATAGAGAAAGGACGGGGTGACAGGTGGAGGTGAGGGATCAAAGATGGGGCAGGAGTGTGACTGGGTTTCAGTATCCCCATCGGTGTTCTCTCCTCCAACTCTTTCTCTTCCAGGTCTAGCATGAGGACCATGTGGAAGTTTCTGAACCCGGGGAGCCTGATGCTGGGCGGTGGGGCTCGTGGAGGGTAGAGGGAGCAATAGAATATTTTCCCAGGCTAACGCCGGCCCCTCCCTGTCCTCTGGACTGAAATGGGGAACACACTGGGCCTGGCGCCCATGGGGACTTTCCCCCGCCGGAGCCCCCGCCGAGAGGAACCGCTGCCTAACCCTGGAAGCTTCGATGAGCTACATCGACTATGCAAAGGTGAGAACTTGGTATTTGGGTGGCTCAAGTTGAAGGGGCAGAGGAGGGGAGGATCTTGAATGCCGACGTTCAGTGGTGGGAGCAGGAAAGGGGATCTGACAGCTGGGGCATCCGGTGTCAGGGAGGGTCAGGTGTGCAAATAAAGTGGAATATTTTGATGCAGGACTTGAAAGGAGGTCAATTCCTCCAGTGCTTCATAGGGATTTGAAAGGAGAGACTACCCTTTTGGGCATGGATTGCTTGTCTGTGCTTATTCCTTCCCTCCTCCTACCCCCTTCAGATGTGTTCCCAGCACAAATGGAGGGAGTGAAGCTCGTTGTCAACAAGGTTCTGAGCAGCCATTTCCAGGTGCTCCACTTCTCTGGCCCTTTCTTACTACTCTTCGCTGCCTTTCCCAAATCCTTTTCTTTCCTTTGTATTCCAGCCTTTGCCAGGTTATTTGGAAAAAACGAGGGAGGATGGGGGTATTTCCTTATCTTCCTTGCCTGTGGGACTTGTTCCTTTAAATCTGGCGTCCCTCTGCATATGTTGGAATATTTGGAAATCCTAAGAGATCCCCTATATGAGGAGAAAATGAAGGGTGGGATGAGGAACTGAAACGAAACAGCAATGCCATCTCCTCCAATAAGTCCTCTTTCCTCAGGTGGCTCACACTGTGCACATGAGTGCCCTGTCCTTGCCAGGCTATCATCTCCATGCAGCGTATGCAGGAGACTGGCAGCTTAGCCCCACAGAGGTGAGAGCTCCACCATACCTCGATCAACTCCTTAAAATCCCACCTGGGTCTTGAGGAGGAAATATGTGTGTGTGTGTGTGTGTGTGTGTGTGTGTGTGTGTGTGTTTTATGAGAAAGAATGGGCAGTAATGGGATTCTCTGTATAACTTCTGAGAGGGAATGGGGTAGAGAAACATTTTTGTGTAAAGATGTCAGAGTTTGTCTTCGTGCTTCCACTAGGGGACGCTGAACAATGTTAATGAAATCCAATAATAATTGGGTTTAGGCTGATGGATGGATGCTTCCCAGCTCAACCTGTCTATGCTCTTCAACAGGTGTTTCCCACTGTGGTAGGAGATATGGACAGCAGTGGCAGTCTCAATGCCCAGGTCCTGCTTCTGTTGGCAGAACGGCTTCGAGCTAAAGCTGTCTTCCAGGTGATCCATAGTTTCTGTCTCTATCCACTGAGGCAGGTCAGGCTATCCTGAACTGGGTACCCAGGAGAAGGAGTAAAGACAATAGTGATCATAAAAAGAAGGAAGGAGCTTTTATTTCTTGCTCTCCCCACCCAGACACAGCAGGCCAAATTCCTGACATGGCAATTTGATGGCGAGTATCGAGGAGATGACTACACAGCTACTCTGACCCTAGGAAATCCTGACCTGATTGGAGAATCAGGTGAGGAGCTGAGATAGTTCTTTTGATCTTAGGTGTCCATTTCCTAACTTTGGCCATACAGCCTAATCTGTATAGTTTGGAGACTAGAAAAGGGGCTGCTTGGGCAGGCTGGGCTGGGGATTGTAGGAGGTGAAGGAGCAGGTTTGATTCTTGTTTCTATGGCTAATTCCATGTCTCCTCACTCCCTCGCAGTGATCATGGTCGCTCACTTCCTACAGAGTCTCACTCATCGGCTGGTGCTGGGAGGAGAGCTAGTTTATCACCGCAGGCCAGGCGAAGAGGGAGCCATCTTGACTCTGGCTGGAAAGTATTCAGGTATGGGGCAAAGTGGAATAGTGATGAGGACAACCAATTCTGGAATTTTCTGGAACTCCTGACCAGTGTCCTATTATGGTAATGCTCCTTTCTCCTATATTTCCCCCCCTAGCTGTACATTGGGTAGCTACATTGAATGTGGGATCTGGTGGGGCCCATGCAAGTTATTACCACAGGGCAAATGAACAGGTAAGATTGTTGATGTCATCCCCTTCCTTAGTAAATCAGTCATAACTTTTTTTTCCCCCAGTTCTGGGGCTTGAACTCTGATAATCTTTTATCTTGTCAAGCTTCTTCAGTCTCTGCTGCTCTGATATTCTTCCTCCTCAAAGTATACATTTCCATTCATGCTTTCATTCTGATGATCACATGTCAAGATCCCTTTATTTTTCACTGAGATGGGTTTTCCTATTACCCTTGTCTATGTTTCTTAGGTTCAAGTTGGAGTGGAGTTTGAAGCAAACACAAGACTACAGGACACAACCTTCTCCTTTGGTTACCACCTGACTTTGCCCCAGGCCAACATGGTGTTTAGAGGTGAGGGTTATTTTGATCACATTTGGAAGTGGTGAGGGATTTGGGATTGAGGGAGGAAAGCTCTACCTTATTTCCACTAACTCCCTACTCTAAGCCTTGTTAAGTAATCTAGTTAATATTCTCTCCCTTGACAGGCTTGGTGGATAGTAATTGGTGTGTAGGTGCTGTGCTGGAGAAGAAGATGCCCCCCCTTCCTGTCACCCTAGCACTTGGAGCTTTCCTCAATCACTGGCGCAACAGATTCCATTGTGGCTTCAGCATCACTGTGGGCTGAAGTTGTCCCAGAACCAGCCCCCACAGCAGCTGGAACCTCTGAGTCAGGTGCCTGAGGGCCAGAGACTAGGCCCCTCTCCAAAGCCCACCTTGCTGGGTGACTTCTAGGTCCCAGAAGCAGAGTGGGGGACAGGATCATGTCCTCCTCAGAACTGGAGCTGCCAGAAGGTCAGCTGATGAGGCTGTGGTTTGAAGCTCCCACTTCCGCCACCAGCTGCACTATCATCTTCCATATGCTCTTATGGTTCTGGACTAAAGGAGGAGTAAGGTGTATGTCTGGATAAATTTGCCCCCTTCCATATTTTCCATTGGATTAAAGCTCCTAACCTTTCCGCTACAGAGCAGAAAAGTCTACATGGGATTAGCTCCCCATCCTGCTCTCCCATCTCAACAGTCTGCTAAAACTGAAGAAGTAGGGTTGAAGGGCTAAATATTTGGCACTATCAAACGGGGCCCACCCGTTCCCAGAAGAAGTTTTACCTCTTAAACCCTGAGGCTTCCTTCTTCACTGTCTTCTGTGCTTCCTCATTTTTGTTCCTATGATCCTCCTCCCTCTTGCCTCCCCTCAATTTCTCCCCATGACTGCATGAAGAGGCAGTTATTACTGTAGTCTTTGCATTGCAAGCACTGAGCTCTTTTTGTACTGGTTCCAATATATGGTCCCATCCGTTTCAGCTTTCCAGTCCAGTGTGTCCCAGGTGGGTTGGGGAAGGAAGCAAGCATGGGTGTCAGCTACAGATCTCCTGGAGAAGTGGCATCATAGCAGACAGTCCCTGGATGCGCTGGATTTGGTACCAGTAAGCATTGTTAAGGCTCCGTAGCTCTGCTAACAGGCCCATCAGCTTTGCATACAGAAACCTATGGAGGAAACAGTGAGATCCTCATGGAAAAGGAAGAAAAAGAAGGCAGCTGGGAATCTAGTCCCAAGGTTCTAATTCCCTGTATTGTCCCTCAATGAAGCTAAGTCTGAACATTAGAAAAAAAATCATAGCCTGACAAGAGAAATTTACTGAAAATTCTAAAGAACCCCAAGGGGGCCTCTGATACTGCTTTCTCTGTTTTTCCTGCACCTCAAGTTCAGAAGGCCAAGTATGAAGAAAGCCCTAGATTTGCCAGATCTTCAACTGTATAGAATTTGAGGGTCTATCTAACCTTCTAGAACTTGTTTTAGAAGGTGTGTGTGTGTGTGTGTGTGTGTGTGTGTGTGTGTGTGTGTGTGTGTTCTGTGGTATAAAGTGCCCCCATTTTAGCAAACTCACTCATTGAGGAATGAGCAACACAAGTGACACATAGCTCACAGCATGGAGATCTTAGTCTACTGAAACAGGACCTGACTTTGGTCATAAAACTGTAAATGATGATAATTTCAAGGAAAATGACAACATACAAGGAACTGGTTCAGTGAAAAGGAGAGGAAGGGCCAAAGAAGAAGAGTGAACGAGACTCTTAAAAATCTGTGTTATGGGGCTGGGAAGGTGGCTCAGTGGTAGAGCGCTTGCCTTGCATGCCTGAGGCCCTGGGTTCGATTCCTCAGCACCACATAAGCAAAAAGAAAAAAGCCGGAAGTGGCGCTGTGGCTCAAGTGGTAGAGTGCTAGCCTTGAGCTGAAGAGCTGAGGGACAGCGCCCAGCCCAGAGTTCAGGCCCCACGACCGGACCCCCCAAAAAAAAAAAAATCTGTGTTATTCTGGAGAAGTTGGAGTGGGGAGGTGATGGATATCATCAATCTCAGGAATGCTATTAGACAGCTTGTTCTACTACTTTGCATCTCTACTGAATAAAAAGATCTGGAAAATGTGAGATGAAACGGTAGCAATAACAATTTGGATAATGGAATTGTGTGTGATGGGCATGGCCAGAGGGAAGGGACAAGAAACCTGGTTTCCTAAAGGAAAATAGAGTTTAAAAAAAATCATCCTAAGGTCAGCGTTTCCCTTATCTCTTCTTTTCCAGTAAAACCTTCAAGCCCCCAGCATTTTCCTTACCTATTTCCAGGCCTTAGCTGTTGTTTCTTGATGTAGCTCTCCAGAGTCAGTGCCATCTCCTCTTGCAGCTGATCGATCTCTTCTCTTTTAGTAACTCCAGGCCGATCTAGAAGATAAGATAGGAGCTGGGAAGGACAAGGTTGTGGTGGGAAGGGGGAGACCTGTATACAGTGTCCAGGGATGGTGTATAGATTTTTCTGTAGGTTTGAAGGCTAGACAGCTGGGGGGGGGGGGGCGGTGCTGAGAGGTTGGGGAAGAGGTGGTGGGACAGAGTTTCTGGGCTCTGGGAAATGCTCACCAGGAGAGAAGAGGGCCATGGCAGCCATGAGTACATACTCTGGCTCCTGGAGTTGCAGTCGTTTCAGTGTCCCATGGAAATGAAAGAGTAACTCCAAATATTCTTCCTGGAATCCCACTGTGAGAGGTATTTGACTTAGGACCTCCAGGCCACCCTAGCATGTCCCATATCGTAAGGATACTTGCCCTCTTCCTGTTATAGCCTTGTCTCACCATGGACTCCATCTTCCATTCTGTAGCGAAGAGGCCCACAGAGGAAGTTTTGTGTTTGGAGACAGAAAGTAGTATTGAGTGAGATTTGACATATTTCTAAAGCGGCTCCCTTGAGAAGGGAGATTTGGTCTTCCATGGGCAGGGATCTATTGAGAACAGGAAACAAAGACATTTTACTCAAACCTAAACTTCAGAGAGGGTAGGGAGCTTCTGGTCCTGGGTGATGCACTTAAACAAACCTTGGAATTCAAGACTTGGTGCTTAGAAAAGCTGAGAGGTGTGTTAATTTGATCAATGAGTTTTGGGGAGTGGTTTAGGGGTTGGTGTGTAATTTATGAAGCATTTACTCCCTGAAAGATGAGGTGAGGCCACTCACCGGAAAAGAGGTAGATCCTTGGTAAACTTGATGATTTGCTGCACCATGAAAGTGTTGATATCTGCAAAGTGTGCAAGCAGAGGGAGCACAGGGGCCAAGGAGGTCAGGGTCTGGCGGTGATCGATGAACAGGTAAGCTGGAGGCTGCAGAGATCAGAGCATGAGTGAGAGGCCCTGGCCCTAGACTTTCCCTATAAGCCTTGCCAGCCTTATCTTCAAAGGGTTCTTTGTTGAAGACCCTGACCAGGCTGGGGTTTTCTCTCTTGGTGCATATCATGAAGCCCTCTCCCTCAGGTCACCTCCTTAGGAACCATTTGCTCCTTTGGTTACTTTCCAGCCCAAATCCTGTAAGTGCTCACCCTGAACCGCACAAACTGGTCAAACATGGTGCTCATGTGGCGAGTGTGGGCTCCCAGGAGGATCTGGACTAGCTCTTTCTGTTCCTTACTCAGCTGTATAGGTGTACTCAGTTGTATAGGTGTTTGCTGTGCCCGCCGCTGCGCCTGCCTTGCTCGACGCAATGCCAGGGCTTCTGCTGACAGTATCACTGTGTCAAGCAAGATATATAACAAAACAATTGAAGTCAACACAGAGCATCTTTCTGATAGTCCTTGATATGGAGCTCCTTGCTGCAATGCATGAGGAAGGATTGGGGAGAGGAGAGTTTTTAAGGCTTCCTTGAACTTGGATGACTTAGAGGCTTCAGGTGGCAGGGGACTGCTGCACACTTCCAGTAACTTCCGTTATCTATAATTCACTACCTTAGAAAACAATGCACTGTGCTGGGAATGTGGCTTAGTGGTAGAGTGCTTGCCTAGCATGCATGAAGCCCTGGGTTCAATTCCTTAGTACCACATATATAGAAAAAGCCAGAAATGGCACTGTGGTTCAAGTGCTAGCCTTGAGCAAAAGAAGCTCAGGGACAGTGCGAAGGCCTTGAGTTCAAGCCTCAGGACTGGCCAAAAAGGAAAAAAGGAAAGAGAGAGAGAGAGAAAGAAAAAAAGAGAAAAAAGAAAGAATGCACTGTGGGAAAGAAGGAAAGTATGGAGAATAAAGTGGGAAAAGTGTAAGAAGAAGCTGGGTACAGTGGCACACCCTTGTACTAACATATGGAAGGCTAATATAGTAAGATCATGCGTTTGAAGGCAGTCTGGTCTACCCAGAATGAGTCAAGACCAGCCTGGGCTGGTCAGATCCTGCCTCATACAGAAAAAGCCAGAAGTAGCACTGTGGCTCAAGTGGTAGAGTGCCAGTCTTGAGCAAAAGAAGCTCGGGGACAGTGCTCAGGCACTGAGTTCAAGCCCAGGAGTGGAAAAAAAAAAAAAGAGGGTGAGAGAAAGGGAAACAAGGAAGGAGGGATAGGGGAATGTGTTTGGAGATGCATTTGGCTTCTGGGGGACATTATACTGAAGAAAATCTTCATACTTAAAATGCCATCTTGTTTGTATAACATAATTTCAAAGGGGCTGAGATTAGATTTCACTAGATAAAACTACCTTATAGTAGATAGGGTAAAGATTTTTCTCTTTCCTTTTTTTTTTTCACTCAAGGCTGGCACGCTACCAGGCACAGCTCCACTTCTGGCTTTTTGGTGGTTAATTGGATGTAAGTCTCACAGACTTTTCTGCCTTGGCTGCCTTCAAACCATGATCCTCAGATCTCAGCTTCCTAGGATTACAGGCATGAGTCACTGATTGCCAATGGGATTTGTATCTTTCAGAGATAGAAATAAGCTTAGATTCCAGGGGCAGTTCCTAGGCTGTAAAATAAGTGATATGGACTGATCATTGTCATATTTTAATACATACAAACAAGTTTTTTGACTCCTATCTCCAGGAAGTCTCTTGGCAAAAGTGGGAAGTGGTGCTGTGGCTCAAGTGGTAGAAGGCTAGCATTGAGCAAAAGAAGCTCAGGGAAAAGTGCCTAGCCCTAGAACTGGAGAGTGGGGGGGTGGGGTGGGGAAGAGAAGTATAGGAGAAAGGTATTTTAGGTACAGGTACTGGCAACTGTGAAAGTCTTAAGGAAGTGTGCTTGTGTTCAAAGATGGCAGTGAAGTTAGTATGTCTGGAATGGATTGAGCAAGGTTGAAGAGAAATAAAGTCTAAAAGGTGTGCAGAAGTTAGTCTATGAGATCATTTGCTTTAAGAGAGATAGGAGCTGTAGCAGATTTGAGTAGAAGAGTTGCATAATCTAACTGAGTGCCAGTGGTTCACACCTGTAATCCTAGCTACTAAAGAAGCTGAGATCTGAGGATCACAGTTCAATTCCAGCCCGGGCAGGAAAATCTGTGAGATTCTTCTTTTCACTTAACCATCGCAATCTAGAATTGGAGCTGTGGCACAAGTGGTAGAGTACCAATTTTGAGCAAAACAACAACAAAAACCTAAGGGATAGTACCTAGGCCTTGAGTTCAAGCCCCAGTGCTGGCATAAACATAAATAAAAAGAGAACAGTGACATAAGCTAAAGAGTTCCAAAAAAGTTTATTCTGCCTGCTTCGTGAAAGTGTGCTATGGGGAGCAGAGAAACAGTTAATAAATTCTTGGGATGGTAAGGGATCAACTCACTGTCTTTCCTCATCCCAGCATTTAGACACTTCTGCAACCTGCAGGCTGGGCAGTGGCGCCTCTGGGCCTTGTTAACCTCACAGTTTCCAGCAAAGGGGCAGGTGGGACCAGTGCTTTTGCTGACTGTTCGTCTGTGAAAAAGAGAGAGAGACATGATTAGGACCTGGGATGGCAGTGAGCAGATATGTGCGAATGCAGGACTGAGAGGATATGAGTTAAAAGACTTGGCAATCTGGTGACATGGGTTAATCTGAGCTGTGTCCAAAGATCCTCAGGATTGGGCATGATCCATCTTAAGAATTTTCTTGAGAACACAGGACACTCAAAAACCATAGTTAATAGAATACTAGTTTGCTTCTTTGCAGGTAGTGGATTGTGTCCATAGCTTCCTATTATGCTATTGGTTTATATATAGTGTTGTGGTTAGCAAGTAGTAGGGTGTTAGCCACAAGGTAGTTAGAATCAGTTTCAGGAGTAATGTAGCTGGACAAGCCTAGGTGTGTGCCAGGGTTTAAAGGATTTGTATGGGATGGGGATGGAGGGGGGGTGGATAGAGAGGAGAGGACTGTTTCTCTTGGAGAGAAGACTCACCTGAAAAAACCCTTGCAGCCTTCACAAGTCAAAGCATGGAAATGATATCCGGTGGCTCGGTCCCCACACACCACACAGTTCCTTGGTTCATCTTTGCTATTTACCATGGCATCAGGTGTTAGGATGATTGTCACAGACGCCTGGGTGTGAGAGAAAAAAGTCAGATCTAGGCCACGTTTTACCCTCTTCTCTCCCTTCTACAGAGTCTCTTCTCAAATCTGCCCTGCACCTATGCCCCAGCCTTGTCTATACTAGAGGCAAGAAAGGTGCTTTTCATCTCTGGTCCTAAACCAATTTCTTACCTGCTCCTCTTAGACAACATGCCAAGACAGGCCACAGAATCTGGTGTGGAATGATTTTCCCCAAGCTCCAACGTTGACTCTGCTTTTATTTTGATCTCAAGGCTGCTAGGAGTTATGGATTATGGCTCTGAGTACCTGAAATACAAAGGACGTGTGTTACATGTAGCCTCCAGGTGCTTTTAATGCCCTATGTAGGCAGGGCACAGACTCTGGACCTAGGGCAAAGAACTGGGTGGGAGGTTTTCCCAGAATGCCCAAGGTACTGGTTAGTGGCACAAGGGGAGGTACTCTGGTGGGTGGGGACCTCATGACTCAGTAGAAGCTGCTCCTAATCAGATTCATGGATGTTCTCCCTCCTGCTGAGCTTCAGGCTTAGATCTGCAGCCTCTTCCTCTTCTGTACACTGATCCCAGGTAAACTGGGAAAAGAGAGATGTGGAGAGACAGCACACTTTTTTTCACATGCAGCATGTCCAAAATAAGAGGAAGGTGTAATGATTGTGCCAGGCTACCCAAAAAGGAAGTGTGTGTGTGTGTGTGTGTGTGTGTGTGTGTGTGTGTGTGTGTGTGATGCCAGTACTCAGGGCCTGTGCAGTGTCCCTGAGATTTTTTGCTCACTACTACTTACGCTACAGTTTACTTCAGAGTTTTGGGTGGTTAATTAGAGATGAATCTCGAAGATTTTCCTGCCTGGTCTGGCTTCAAACTATGATCCTCATATCTCAGCCTCCTGAGTAATTAGGATTTTAGGTATGAGTCACTGGTGCCTGGCTTGTTCTGGTTATTTTTGAGATGGGTTCCCAATTTAATGACTAATTGGAGATGATGTCTCAAAAAACTTTTCTGACGAGGGTGGCTTCCATCTGTGATCTTCTAGACCCTGGTCTCCTAAGATTACATGTGTGAGCCACTGGCACTGCCTGAACTCTTAATTTGTTGTTGTTATTATTGTTGTTGTTGTTGTTTTGTGCCAGTCCTGGGGCTTGAACTCTGGGCCTGGGCACTGTCACTGACCTATGTTGACCATAAGCTAATATTCTGCCATTTGAGCCATAGCTCCATTTCTTTCTTTTTTCCTTCCTTCCTTTCTTTCTTTCTTTCTTTCTTTCTTTCTTTCTTTCTTTCTTTCTTTCTTTCTTTCTTTCTTTCTTTCTTTCTTTCTTTCTTTCTTTCTTTCTTCCTTCCTTCCTTTCTTTCTTTCTTTCTTTCTTTTTTTTTTGTCCATCATGGGGCTTGAACTCTGGGCCTGGGCATTGTCCCTTAGCTCTTCAGCTCAAGGCTAGCACTCTACCACTTGAGCCACAGAGCCACTTCCAGTTTTCTAGTGGTTTATTGGAGATAAGAGTCTCAGGGACTTTCCTTCCCCAGGCTGGCTTTGAATCTCAATCCTCAGATTTCAGCCTCCTGACTAGCTAGGATTACAGACATGAACCACCTGTACCCCACTGCCGTTTCTGTTTTTTGTTTGATTTTTATAATTAATTGGAGATGAGTCTCACAAACTTTCTTGCTCAGGCTGCCTTCTAACCTTGATCCTCAGATCAGCTTCTCCCCTGTGCATCCCCCCAACCAACCCCTCCCCCTGTCATGGGGCTTGAACTCTGGGCCTTGGTTCTGTCCCTCAGCTCTTCAGCTCAAGGCTAGCACTGTACCACTTGAGCCACAGTGTCACTTCCGGCTTTTTTGTTGTTGTTTATGTGGTGCTGAGGAATTGAACCCAGGGCCTCATGCATGTGAGGCAAGCACTCTACCACTGAGCCACCTTCCCAGCCCCAGATCTCAGCTTCTTGAGTAGCTAGGATTACAGATGTGAGCCACTGGCATCAGCTTAAATTAAATAATAATAATAATTACATTAGCTGTATAAGAGGAGTTTTCATTGTGACATTTCCATGCATAGTCACAATATAATCAACCCCCCTACATCATTCTCTCCCCTCTTCCTAATATAATTTCAAGAGGTTTCATTGTTGTACTTTCATACTTGCCAACAATCTATTCTTACCGTATCTATCTCCTTTTACCCTTTCCTTAAAAGGAAATAAACTCAGCTGGGTGCTGGTGGCTCATGCCTGTAAATACTAGCTACTCAGAAGGCTGAGGTCTGAAGATCATAGTTTGAAGCCAGCATGGAAAGAAAAGTCCACAAGACTCTTCAATTAACCACCAGAAAATCATAAGTGGAGCTGTGGTTCAAAGTGTAGAATGCTAGCCCGCCCTGAGCAAAAAAGCTCAGAGACAGTGTCCAGGCTCTAAGTTCAAGCCCCACGATTGATACCCCCCCAAAAAAAAGAGGAAATAAACTCTAAAATGTGTCATAAAGGATATATGTATACATATATTTGTGTGTGTATATATATGCATAGTACTAGCTAAGAGTATCTACCTGTGTTAACCTTTTTTTTTTTTTTTTGTCAGTTGTGGGGCTTGAACTCTGGGCCTGGGCATCATCCCTCAGCTCTTTAGCTCAAGGCTAGCACTCTACCACTTGAACCACAGCACCACTTCTGGTTTTCTGGTGGTTTATTGGAGATGAGTCTTATAGACTTTCCTGCCCAGACTGGCTTTGAACTGTGATCCTCAGATCTCAGCCTCCTGAGTAGCTAGGATTAAAGGCATGAGCCATCAGCACCTGGCTGTGTGTTAACCTTTTTAAGAAGGTAATAGCATTTTATGGATGAGAAAATGGAGACTTGGAGATGTAAAGTAACATGTACAAGGGCCCAACACAACTCATTTATTAGGTTACTTTATAAATGTCACACAGATATTTCAAATTCAATGTGTCTACAATGGAACACATATACATTGCCACAGATTAAGTTCTGTATGACCAAACTTGATAACTATCTCAGTCTGAGAAAGTGGAAATGGCGTGGGCACTGGAGTTATATAGACTTGGGTTTAAATTCTGAGTCTGGCTCTTGCTGGCTCTTACTCTTTTGCTCCTTTCCTAAGAGTTTGACATGACCAGGACCCAACTACAGGGGACCCTGGAAGTCAGATATTTTCATAATGGACTAACCCCTGGCTAATGAAGGGGTATTTCCTCTTCCTAGGTCAGCACTGAATGCTTAAAGGAGAGACTGGATGGAGAAAGTTGTTCTGGCCTAGGGCTTCCCTATCACTGAAGTATAAGGATTACACTGAGCTGTGTCCTTGAAGTCCTTGCAATTCTTTGAAGTAGGTGTGTGTGTTAGGGATAGACCCCTTGCTCTTCTGTGTACAGTAATGCTCCTCTGTTTAATTTAATTTAGGACCTCTTCTATTGAGGTGACTGGGAATGGAATCTGCTTCCAGATACCCCTGGCATCCATGACGAATAGGCTTTCAGGGTTAACTGATTTTTTTTTTCTGGTCCTGGGCACTGTCCCTGAGCTTTTCTGTTCAAGGCTAGTATTATACCACTTGAACCACAGCTCCACAGCTCCACTTCTGGATTTTTTGGTGGTTAAATAAAGGTAAGAGTCTCATAGACTTAACTGCCCAGGCTGGCTTTGAATTGCAGTCCTCAGATCTCAGCCTCCTGAGCAGCTAGGATTACAGGAATGAGGCATTGGTACCCAGCTTTTTTTTTTTTTGTCAGTCATGGGGCTTGAACTCTGGGCCTGGGTGCTGTCCTTGTGCTCTTCAGCTCAAGGCTAGCACTCTACCACTTGAGCCACAATGCCACTTACTGTTTTCTAGTGGCTAATTGGAGATAAGAATTTCACAGAGGTTCCTGCCCAGGCTGGCTTTGAACCACTATCCTCAGATCTCAGCCTCCTGAGTAGCTAGGATTACAAGTATGAGCAACCGGCACCCGGATTGGCACCCAGCTTTGACTAATAGTTGTACCTCTTCCAACACATCTATTTGAAGCTGGGTCTGAAAAACACCCATGTTGGTTGTGGTCTGGGATTTAAGCTCTCTGAATTTTAATTCTATTTACTAGAAATAAATGGTTAACAACCCTTCTTACCTAGGTTTATGTTACACATATTACATAAAGTAATTCTTTAACCATGTTTTGATCCTGGAAAGGATCATTCTCCTAGCTTTTTCTTTTCCTCCTTCTCCACTACCTTCTTCTCCCAGACACCAAGACACAATATGGTCACATAGCCTCTTTGTTCTTCCTCACTCCTTAAAAATGACCAGAAGTCATGACTTGTCATTGCTGTCTCTAGACCTCTAAACACCCACTACTTATTAGCTGAGTTCATTTTTCACTTATCACTGCAGTTAAGCTATTAAATTATTCTCCCTACTCTCAGCTCATCTCCCAACCCATCCTCCATGCGGTTGCTATTTCTAAAATGCAAATTTGATCATGTCTCTCCCCTGCTTAAAATTCTTCATTTGCTTGCCATCACCTTCAGGGAAAAAAAAAATCCAACCTCTTTAGCATGTTACACAAAGTCCTTTGTGAGTTGGCCGCTATTTATCAGTCTGCCCCCTTCTGTTATATCCCTACTTCTCTCCTCTGACCCAGTACATTGCATTTGGCTCTAGATGTGCTTAAACATTTAGTGTTCCCTGCACAGGCTGTGCTCACTCACTTCAGAACATTTGCCCTTGTTCTGTCTGGTACAAAAGTCCCCATCTCCCTTCCAGAGGAACCCTCCTCCCCTGGTGTCCTTGATCCTTTGGCCCTTGAGGTCCCAATGCAGTAGGTGTCACCTTTGGGAGTCCAAAGGCTAAAATATACCTATGCACACAAATGTATCACAGTGCTTGCCATACTGCAGAAAGGCATTTATCATATGGCAAACAATTGTCTACTTCTCTCTGACTCTGTTTCTCAAAGATGGGGTGCTAAAGTCAAGGACTGCATTTATTATTCTTTCTTGTTGAGGCAGGGCCTAGCCTCTAATTCATAGACCTGCCTCAGCATTGCAAATGCTAGAATTACAGGTATGAAACACCACACTTGGTTAATGGCTGTGTCTTTTATTTTTTGGATCCTTAGTTTCATTGTTTTTGGGTGGTACTGGGGCTTGAACTTAGGGCCTCATGAGCACTGTTAGGCAAGTTCTCTGCCACTTGAGCCATGCGTTCAGCCCTTCTTGTTTTAGTTATTGTAAAAAATTTATTGCTATTATTATTTTTATTACTTTGTTTATGTGGTACTGAGGAATCGAACCTAGGGCCTCATACATGCAAGGCAAGTGCTCTACCAGTGAGCCCCACT